CTCTATACGTGGAAATAAAATATTTTCTGTTCAATTTGATAGCGAATGGTGTGGACAAGTTGGAAATATTGCCACGTGTGACATACCCTTAAAAGGCTACCAGATTATCTTTTTTGTGCAATGAAAGAATTTATAGGATTATTTGTACAGTAAAGGTGCGGTTAATCGTGGCAATGCATGCGATTTTTATACACATTTGCTGTCAAAGTGCGAAATCGAAAGTGTTCTTTCCCGTGTAAACATTCGGAAAGACTTTTTTGCAGATTAGCAGAAATCACTTTCAGAAATAAAAATTGCAAGGTGTAACTGCACCTGAAATTACGCAAATCGCTTTCGAGAAATAATTTCAACTTGCTCGTGCTGCACTAGCAATTTTCATTTTTGCTGCAAGTGCTGTCAAACCAATCGAGTGCTGCCGAATGCCGCGTTTTTTCGCAAATTTTTACAAAATTGTAAAAATGTTGAATGAAGGGCGTGGGTGAATCGTTAACAAAGTTTTATGGGGAAAGCTGTTGAATAATCAACCTTATCATGAGTTTCATTTTCTCCGAACCGGTTCACTTTTCACTCTTGGTTTCCATGGTTTTACTATGGGTGGATTACAAATTTTCGGGTGATTGTTTTTTCAAGCGAAACTCAGGATAAGGCAGAATATGTTTACTATGGTGAGACAGTTTTGCGAATGTGCCGCGTGAAATGAAATCTTTTTCGACAGCAGTAAATGTTTGATAACAGCAAATTTATGCGGAACAAAATATTACAAATTGAAGTGAAATTAATATTTTAAGAAACCATCTACCATCGTTGATGGCAATTCATCAATTTAAGCTTTTATTTCACGAAAAATGACACACATCAATAATCTTTGCGATTGTCAAAATTTTCTATGCATTTGTCAAAAATTTCACTAGCGTCATAAGCTACTGAAATTTTATTCACCTCATAGTTGTCAAAAATTTACTCGCCGCGAACTTTGTCACCGACTCACACACGCTCAACATATGAAAAATATGTGTATTTATTAATTTCGTTATAAGCATAAAAATTGCAGGTAAGAATTGAAAGTGGACTTGTCTGCTTTCACCGTGTAAACAGACAAAAAGTGGTTTCGGAATGTTTGAATTTCAGAATTAAAAACTTCTTTCGAAAGCCACTTTGCATGCAAGGTGTAACAGCTCTCTTCTGGAAATTCTTGAATTCGACAGACTTGTGAAAAGGACTTGCACTTTACACGTCTATTAGCTACTTAAAGAAATTAATTGTTTTTATTTGAACTATGCTTTTACATACTACGTTTATTACTACGTTTATGCGTAGGCTAATTCACGAATTCATTTCATGATATTGGGATAAAATTGGCTGCATCAACACCTGAGGGATTCACAGCAATGTCGTAAGTGTCGTATTGTTGTATGTCGTAAACTTTATAAGCTTAAATAAATGTTTAGAGAACTTGAAACCACAATCAACTATTTTTTAACACTGCGAACACGAAACTGGTGTACACGAAAGTTATGGGCTGTTTTTGCTTACGCGTAAAAGCACATTTAGCGCATTTAGCTATAAATGCTACTCTAAATGTACATTTATCCATACAAAATTCGTCACCTAAATGCAACTAAATGAAACTCCATTTATGCATTAACTATCTAAATGCTACAAGCAACCCTGTGATCTTCCAAAATTTCAACGATTCGAACATGAAAGAAAGACACAAGATCACGTAAGAACAAGAGAGTGAAAAAAGTAGATTTTTTAGCGGGTTCTACGCCATCTTGTTTCACTGGAAAACGAGCGAAAAGTAAACAAAGCCAAAAAAAAAACAACGAAAACCAAAATTAGCCAAAACTATTGTCAGCCACTTTAAACGCACAATTTAGGTAAAATGATGCAACAAAATGCTTTAAAATGTGTTGTCATGTTGAATTAACTCTTCTTTATTTGAATAAAAGTGTAAAATAGTGGTGCTTGTGATGTAAACAAACGCTCAGCTGACGAACCCGCTTTCGCAAACTTTTTTCTCAAAACCAGCTACAAATACAACGTCAACATTCATTTTGGTATTTTTGGTTCATGCGATTCGAACATGGTTTAAAGAGAAAAAGTGGCAACATTGCTTTTTCGAGTATACAGTTGCTAGCTGCGTTTCAGTGATCGCCGATCGAGATTTCTTTTTTTGAGCAAATTCAACATCGATGTGTTGCTGATAGAAATCTGGATGAATTTGTGATCAGCTCTGTTTGTTTTGTTTCCTAATTAAGTGAGGAAATTTTAATTGACAGCACCGACAAATGAATATATACACAAACAAATGTTCGGTTATAGTTATAACAATTCAAGTTTTTGTATTGAATTTTTGGTTTAAAATTTATTTTTCCTTTTCAGTAGGCTTTTTGCACATTATCTTCTGCGTGAGAATTGATCGTAATATATACGGATCGAAATAAGAGACTGGAACACGGCTGTTTGTCAAAAGCATACGATTTTCAACTCGCGTAAATGTACATTTTCTAAATGCTATAGCATGAACGCTCTTCGAAAACATATGTTCGAAAGTGCTAAATGTTGCATTTTAAATGCAGCAAAAACGCTGCATTAGCCTTAAATTCGGCATCATTTCATGAAATCGTAAAGAGCAAGTCCGGCAACACCACGTTTCACAAACAGCTGTTTACCAGGGTTATGATGTTGTTAGATTAAACAGCTTAAGTGGCATAACCAGGATTTAAAACAATGGAAAAGTTACGTGAATCGTTGAAATATAAAATAAATTCAAATAGAACTGAAAATATATTAGGCATACATCAAGATAACCAACCGTTCAGCTATAGAAAAACTAAAAATGCAGATTGCTAGTACTTTTTACGCTGATTTTAACTATATAAATATTATTTGCCGCAATTAAAAAGCAAAGCAGATATAAGAGGTAAAACAAAAAAATTGTGATATTTTAAAACATTAATATTTTCTAAACTGCATCACCGATTTAAAAACTAATGATGTCAAAATAAAGACAATTAATTTATCTTCAAGCTGATATATAAAATGTGTATGCTTTTTTTATATATTTAAGCCAAAAATATTATAAAACCAAAAAAATGTCATAATTTTTTCATAAAATAACCCTTTTTTTAGAAAAAGTCCATAATCAATGCTAAAAAAATTTATATTATTGAAGAAGTGTAAGTTCTTACCTTTGATTTGATATACTTATTATATTATGATTTGCTTTTGAGTTTTCAGAATTCAGTGATAATAAAAAATATAAATGCATGTATTTGCAAATGGATATTTTAGTTAATTAAACAAGGCGAGTTAACAGACTTTTTTGGAAAGGGTACTGTTTTTGTTGGAAGCGGGAAAATTTATGCCGTTTTATATGTACATATATGTATATACTTACAGCTATTTTTCATTTGTTTGTGTTCCGGCGGAGATAAAAAACGTGTTTTGAATATTTTTTAAAAAGATGAATACTCTTAATTTATTTAAAATATATAAAATGTTTGAAAGTGAGGACGGTCTTAAGATTAATGCAAATGTGCCCCCCCCCCCCGCCTTTCATGGCAACACAGAAAGGAGAATTCTACTTAGTGAGGGTTATAATCACTAAGTGCGGCCAAAGGCCGCCTACGCAGAAAGGTGTTCTCTGTAAAAGGTGTTCAGCCTCACTTCTTCAGCAACACGGAAAGGAGAATTCTACTTAGTGAGGGTTATAATCACTAAGTGCGGCCGAAGGCCGCCTACGCAGAAAGGTGTTCTCTGCAAAAGGTGTTCAGCCTCACTTCTTCAGCAACACAGAAAGGAGAATTCTACTTAGTGAGGGTTATAATCACTAAGTGCGGCCGAAGGCCGCCTACGCAGAAAGAAGTTCTGGGCAAAAGAAACTATGATATCACCCACATTTGTCACTTTTGCTTGTAAATGCTTTTAATTTTTTGTATCACTAAATTCTTAAACCTCAAAAGTAGATCATAATAAAATATGCATATCAAATTAAAGGTAAGAACTTGCACTTTCTAAATAATATATATGTCTTTAGCATTGATTATGCACTTTTTTCTAAAAAAGGTTATTTTATGAAAAATTATAACATTTTATTTGTTTTTTAATATTTTTGGCTTAAATATATAAGCAAGCAAACGCATTTTATATATGAACTTAAAGATGGATTAATTGCCTTTATTTTCATATCATTACTTTTTTAATCGGTTACGTAGTTTATAAAATATAATTATTTTAAAATATCACAAAAATTTTTTTAACCTTTTACATCTTCTTTACTTTTTAATCGCGGCAAATAATATTTATATAGTTGAAATCAGCGTAAAAAGTACTATCGGTCTGCATTTTTAGTTTTTCTATAGCTGAACGGTTGGTTATCTTGATGTGTTCCATATATTATAACGAATTTAAATATAATATGTTTCAGGTACCAACGACTTTTGAAAATTGAAAAGGAGGACAAAAAAAGTCACAACCCAATGTTTAGTTTCTCGCCAGTGCATTGCGAGTTTTTCAAGGCACTTTATTTCATGAATTCGCGAGCTATGCATAAACGGGACCTTTTTTGAAAAACGTAGTAACAGTGTTGTAATTATACTTAAATGTAATACGTGAATTTGACTTATTTGTGCGTAACCTGGCAATATTGGCGAGTAGCCAATGGGGGACATGAATGTGTGACAAATGACAATTTCTTGCGAAATAAACAAATTTTCCCAATGGACGATTCGTTTTTTGGCTTTGATACATCTGTACCGGTGAGTTAATAAATAAATAATTGGTGTATACAATTTTTCTTCATTTGAATGTATTATGATAATTATACGGATCTAAATCCATGGCTTCGTGTTATTGCAAATATGGTCGTTTATGAAATTTTTCATTGTGGTGTATGTTTAATTGGGGAAATTGTATGTCTAGACAGACGATATATAAAATTAATGTTGCATATGATGATCTGAGCTTAAATAAACATTTGTATTTTAAGTACGAAGATGATGGACCTGGGAACCAGATCGCCGAGCCTTCTGAAGAGGAGTATGATGCACTTAACGACGAGACGTTCGGTTCTGCGACTAATGGCGACTGGGAAGAGGCTCATGAAAATATGGTTCGTCTTACGGATTGCTTCGTTTCCGGCAGTAGCTACCGGGATTCTTTTGAGGGTGCACGGTCAAAGGGCGGGGAAACTCTATATTCCTCCCACGCCTCATCTGCCAAAAATAAATTTTCACATGTGTCGCAAGTAGAAAAGTTCGCAGATTCTGATTTGGAGTTAAATTTGTCGGGAATGAAATTTGATGATGTTGATTTAAGATTCGACGATAACGAAAGTGTAGTTGAATCATCTGAACTAAGTTTAGATCCAAGTGTGTGGTCTTCAAATTCTTTTAAGTCTTCAACCAGCCAACAATCAAACATAGGTGAATTAAACAGGCAAACAGCTCTTTTCCATGTTAATAACGCATGCGGGCCTATTGGGGCAAACAATATTAACCATTCTAATTTGCAACGTCTTCAAATGTCAGATCAAGTACCACATCAAAGGCACACGCAACGAAATGAGAATTCTGATTTTAGAAGAGTTCAAGGAGACATAACTGCTTGTAGGACCGACGGCGCTTATGGTCTCCCTACCGCGCCAAAATTTTGCACCTTGGAGGATATAGAAAGGCATATAATTATTGAACAAACTATGCGAAAGCACCAAGAGGAGCATTTTCAATTAAAAGAAGATTATCGTTATTCACAGCAACCAATACAAAAACAAATTTGCCAACAATATATTAGTGAAACCTTGAAACAACAAATAAAGACATCACCACACCATATGCAACAACAGCAAACCGGACATCTACAAAACATACAAAAACAACCATTGACGCAATTAAAAGGTATGACAATTCAATCAAACGATAAACTCAGTTTGCACTTTTAATAATCCAAATTTACTAAGGTCCTCCCGGGTATTCTAATAACAAAGAAAGCGTGCCACTGCAGAGTAGCAATTTGGCTAATAACCTATCGCAACATCCTTTGGGAAATTTACTTCATCAAAAGCAAGGAGGTGGTGTCGTTGGAACTCGCCTTCCACCAGGATTTCCTTTATATCCCAAGGGATTAAGTTCGCAATTACAACAGAACAATCATCAACTTCCTCCACATCCTTTATTAAACCAACACGGACTGCCGTCGAATTTTCAACAATTGCACCAGCGTCCACTGCCAAATCCGCATCTCCCAATCGCTTTGAATAACTTTGCTATGCATCCAAGTTTTAATGCAATGCGTGCAGCGGCGGCTGTGGCGGGTATTCATCCTGCCGCATTGGTGCAATCGCAACAACAACCAACACGGGTTGCTCCTCATCCACCAAGTCCAGCAGTTCTACTCAATACCCAACAAACCAACTCAATGTACAATATGTTTAATATGCGCTTGGTTCAAGAAATTCAACAAAATCATCCCTTGTTGCAAAATTCGGCGCGCCAAGCACACCAAATACAGCAAAATATGGCAATAAATGTCCATCATAACCAAGTTCAGCATCGAGCCCACGTTGGGAGCAATAAATCTACCCATCAACGTAGAGATGGAGGACCTGCAAATGGCAACTTACCGCGTGAAGAATTTGATGAATATGCTAATTTAATGAGCACACGTGACAAGCATTGGTTGATCGGTATTCAGTTGTCACAGTTGAATACAGATACTCCTTATATCGACGACTTTTACCATACGGTATATCGTGAAAGAAAGGGTGCTCAAAATGGCAACATCCGTCACAGCCAGGCACATAAAGATAACCAACTAAACCATCCGCTAACACAACCAAAAGGGCATGCTCAACTTATCTTAGTTCAGCTTGGAAATAAAAATGGAACGCGTAATGGGCAACACCGTGAGCGCCATAACTCAGAAACAATCGGGACGGCAAGCAATAATTGTGGAAATATTGGAACCAACCAAGATCAAAAAACGCCTTACGTTTTTACTCCATTGAAATTTGAGAACTCATTGGGTAAACTGCAGTACGGAAGTGTAACGGCACCACGCAAAATTATTGATGCCGAAATTATGGGTAATGAGGCGGCTGCTGGCGGAGATGGAGATGGCACAAGCGTCATGACACACTCCACTTTAGTCAACCTTGTCCATCTGAAAAGCAATATATCTTCAGGAAGCACTGCAACTGGTATTTTAAGCGATCTTGCGTCGTCAGCACAACGTAAATCACGTCACATTCTGCTTCACATTGAGACATTATACCGCATTGTCTTAAAATTGGAAGATTTAAACAATCCTACTGCGATTGCCACTATTATAATGAAGAAAAAAAAAGAGAGCGAGCGAATCGCAGCTTTAGAGCAACTAGAGAATGCGAATAAAACTCAGGAAGAGCGGGCGGCAGAATCATCTAATCCATCTGCAGTAAATCCAGCGTTAAAAAATAAATTCACATATGAGATTGAAAGGAAAGAAATACTCGTGGCAAAGTTGATAGCGGGTCTTTCCCATGAAGAAGTAACAGCAGTTATGACTGTCCGTAAGGGAAAGGTAAAGTTCGAAAATGTATTTATCGATTACGTAGATTCTTTAACAAATATTCGAAATATTTAACAACATATTTACCTATGTATATAGAAAGAATTGAGAAGGCTTGAGGATTTAAATTTGTTTCTAACGCATAAGTAAATAGGAAATAGTACAGGCCAATTTCAAAACTGGCGGTTATTTGCATAGTAGAGCATTTTTTTTTTTTGATACTGGTGGCTATGACAGAAAACATCGTAGTCCGATTTTCCGCGAAATCTACGAAAATGAGATCACTGAGTCCGAATTGGTACGAACGTATACATTCAAAGTATACGCTACGATCATAGCTATTCGAATTAAGTGATAGCATTTTTGTGGGTTTCACGAAAAATCGGACAACGATGGATTCAGTGATCGCAAGTCGCAAGGGTTGTAAAACTCCCGAGCTTCGGGAGTGTGGAATCGCAGCCATTTTGAAAACAATTTTTACAAAAATGGCATTAAACAACAAAAATGCTAACCGAATCATTTTACTAAAGGGAAGGGTAAAAACAAGATTCATGCAAAATAATAGCATTTTCCCCCCAAAAAAACTTTCACCCACTGTAATAAAAAAAGTGGCAAGATGGAGCAAAATCTTTCCGGCGTTTGCCTACCACGTATACATATCAGTGGTTGATTGACTTTGGTTGATGTTTTAAAATCACTGAGGAACAAGAAACGTTGACCAACTTTGTTTCAAGATGGCCTCGATTCCAAAGCCCTCTGACTCCAGCAAATCGTGTTAAATATTTCTTGAACACAATGCAAAAAATCTTCAGTTTACCAATTTTCGAGACTAACTTGACTACATTCCCACGACAGCCGGTTCAACGTACCGGAATGACTCGGGTTTTACCCGACCAAGAGCTGTTGTTTCGGCGATCTACCCCCGTTTAGGTATCAGAAGTTGTTCGTCCATAGGGCTACATTTGCTACGTATTCTTCTGCTAAGGGCTGGCCTCGAGCCAAACCCAAGGCCACAAACCTACACCTCCTGTGTTTGCTAGAGACGACTACACCACAACTCCACCTCAGTCAAGTGCAATGCTTAGATAGATAGATAGTGGTTAGGTATGGCACTGCGACCAGTAGGTCTATTGTGCCCCTAGCTCATCACAACACATCAACCAGCCCCAGAGTGTCTATAAATTTCATAATAGACCCCGGGGACAGTGAATGTATGTGCTCCTCTCTTGGCCAGACGTGCCCTATGCTCCTATGCCTCCAGCGTGCAACAGCCTCACATTCCATAAGAAGGTGTAGAGGAGTCTCCTTGGCTGCATCGCAAAAGCGACACAGGTCGCTGGACCAGATACCTAGTTTATGCAGGTGCCCTCTGAGCCTACAATGGCCCGTCATAAAACCTGTAATAATTCTTAGTTTCTCTTTTGGGAGATCCATGAGAAGCCTGTATCTTGACAGATTGTAACCTCCTAATAAGCGTTTTGCCTGACGTTGTCCCATGGTGCCAAGCCAGTGCAGTTCCCTCAGTTTGCTGTTGTCCCTTCTGAGCATTTCCTTTATGTGTTGGGTCCTACTGCCAGAAAGGGCTCAGGTCCTATCGGGGTCGAGGAAGCGGCCGTTCTGGCCAGATGATCAGCTTCTTCGTTTCCTGCAACCCCCATGTGCCCTGGTACCCACATTAGTTGGATATTATTGACCTCCGCCAGAGCATTGAGCCTCTCGACACACTCCCAAACCAAGGAGGAGGAGAGGGCCCTAAGTGCCGCCTGGCTATCACTTAGTATAAGTATCCTTTCATTCCTATAGTTCCTGTGAATGTTAATCTCAGCGCACATACTGGTGGCATAGACCTCCGCTTGAAAGATGCTAGGGAAAGTTCCCAGGGGCACCGAAAGCTTCAGCCTAGGGCCGTATACACCTGCTCCAATCCCCGCGGGTGTTTTAGAGCCGTCAGTGTACCACTGTATTGTGCTCGCCTATATGTGACTCTCCATAATAGAGGTACACCAGGTCGCCTTGTTGTAAGTGAGGGTCCTGAAATTTCTCTTGAAGACCACCTCTCTGTTAATATCGTCTCTGGGGAACAAAGCCAGGGGGAGCTGGGTACCTAACTTGTCCCTGTTCCTGGATGATAACACCTTGCCTTTGCCGAAGCCCTCTCTCGCAAAGTTAAGGAGGGTTCGCTTTGCAGCCTGTTCAATTGAGAGATGCAGTGGCTCGAGTTCCAGCATTACCTCGAGCGCTGCCGTCGGGCATGTGCGCATTGCTCCCGTAATGCAAATACATGCCAGACGTTGAATCTTGGAGAGAGTCTGCCTCACCGTTCCCATAGTAGTCCTGGAATACCAAGCCACCGCACCATAAGCCACTATTGGTTTCACTATCATGGTGTACATCCATCTGAGGATCCTCGGAGTGCACCCCCAGGATTTACCCGCTAGACGTTTGCACACCATCATCGCTCTCGTGGCCTTATAGGTGACCGCATCAACATGGGCCCTCCACAGAAGCTTGGAGTCCCAGGGTAAGCCCCAGACACTTAACCTCTGTGGCGACACTGATTACGACCCCGCCCAAGGTCAAGTTCCTCATCCCCTGGAGATTACGTTTCTTGGTGAAGGGGACTATGGCTGTCTTAGAGGGGTTGATATTTAAACCTACGTCTGCGCACCACCTTTTTGCAAGGTTAAGTCCTCTTTGGACGATGTCACAGAGAGTACTTGCGAACTTCCCTCTAGCGATAATCGCTATGTCGTCCGCATACCGCATATCTGTAGGAGTTCGTCCACAACTAAGCGCCACAGTAGAGGAGATAATACACCCCCCCTTGTGGGCACCCTTTCGACGTTTGTATTTGAACGACGCTATCACCGACTTCAGTTTCGGCAATCCTGGTCTGAAATAATCTTGTTATCCGTCTTCGGATGGTTGGCTGAAGGTTATGTTTCGCAAGAGCTCTGACGACTCCCAAATGTGAGGCGTTATCGAAGGACCCCTCGATATCGAGGAAGGCACAGAGCACCACCTCATCACACTCAAAGGCCCCTTGTATTTCCTCCGTTAGGGCATACAGCGCAGTATCCGTGGATCTCCCCACCCTGTACGCGTGCTGGTTGGAATGCAGAGGTGTTTGTTTTAGAGTGTTAAACCTGGTTTCATGGTCAATAATTTTCTCCATTGCCTTTAACATAAAGGATGTGAGACTTATCGGCCTGAATGACTTGGCAAAAGAGTAATCCCTCTTGCCTACCTTCGGGATAAAGATAACCCTGGCCCTCTGCTACACCTTGGGAATGTGAGCCAGTGCTAGACTGTCCCTCATAATGTCCACAAGATGTGGAAGTAAGAGCTCCCCGCCCTGCTTCAGCAGCGCCGGACATACACCATCCACCCCAGGGGCCTTGTACCGTTCGAAGGAGTCCAGAGCCCACTGCACTGTTTGCCGGTTAATAAGGCTTTTAGCCAGCTTCCAGTCCGGTGGGGATGGCCTGAACGCCCGGAACAACGTATCCCCGGCGGTGGGAATGGCGTCCGGAAAGTGGGCTGACAGCAGAGTGAGTGCCCTTTCCTGTTCAGTACCTGAAAAGGTTCCATTAGGTTGCCTAATAGCCAACCTGGTCCCTGTGTTGTCTCTCGCTAAGGCTTTATGCAGCCTAGCAGCTGCAGGAGCAGATGCGATGTTCTCACAAAAGGTCCTGAAGCTACTACGCTTGGCCTTTCTAATCTCCTTATTGTATTTTGTCAGACTGACTGAGTACTCCTCCCAGTTTCCGGTGCACTTTGCCCTGTTGAAAAGTCTTCGCACCTCTTCTAAGAACTGAGAGTTCCCGTGTCCACCAGGGAGGCTGAGCTTTCCTCTTTGGCTTTGACACGGGGCAGCTGGAGGTAAAGGCATCCAGAATGGTGCCGTTCAGCCTGTTGACCCTGTCCTCTAACTCCATACAATCCACCTTTCTATGTTGTGCCTCTATTCTGCCTAGGTTCAACCTAAGTACCTCTTCGTATTTACCCCAGTCTGTTTTCCTGGGGTTTCTCTTTGGGTGACCTGTCAGAACCTCAGCTCCCAGTGCAAATCGGATAATCCTATGATCCGACAGTGACTGAAGAACGATCAGAGGACTGGCCAGTCTGTTGCTGAGAGTGATGTCAAGTACCTCCTTGTTGTTGTTGTTGTAGCGGCTACAACAACCCCGCCCAGATCGGTTGGTATCTCAGTCGTTGTCGTCAAGTTCCACTAACGGCAACCCTAGGAAGCGTGTAGCTTCTGTGGGATCTGTCCACAGGGACAGGGCCGTTAGGGTTGTCGGGTTTTCCGGGCATGCGAAGAGATGGTTCGAGTCATGTGGGGTCTCCGCATGCCGGACATTCGTTCGGCACATCCTCATTCAGCCTACTCAAGTAGGAGTTTAACCTGCTGCAGTAGCCGGAGCGAAGTTGAGCAAGTGTAGTGCGTGTCTCCCGAGGCAGATGAAGCTCTGTCTCGTCAATGTCCGGGGGTGGTATGCCTAGAACGGCATTCACAGGTCTAGAGTCTACATAACTCGAGACTGAGTCCCTGTGAATGCCGTTCAGGGCCTGTCTGTACGCTGTCGGGTCCAGAGGTTGCTTAATGAACCTCTGGACTTCGTCCGTCAGTTCATATAGATGCCTCCTGACGTGCCTATGCGAGGGCTCCTCTGCAAGCAGCTGTCTGTTTGGGTGGCCACTTCTGTGGCTCCCGATCAGGAACTGCTTGCAGAGCATTATGTTGTGCTCATTAACTGGGAGCATTTGCGCCTCGCCGTGCAAGTGATGTTCTGGCGACATCAGGAGGCATCCCGTCGCTGTCCTAAGTGCCGTATTTTGTCCCGTCTGTAGCTTCGTCCACTGCGTCCTACTAGTCCCTGGCGACCACACTAGCGCTGCGTAGTTCAAAACCGACCGGCCTATTGCCTTGTATGTTGCCAGCAACGTTTCTTTGTCTTTGCCCCAAGTACTGCCGGCTAGCCACTTGAGGACCTTGTTGCGGCTCTGTACTTTATTGACAATAGCGGTTGAGTGCGCAGAGAAGGAGAGCAGGCTGTCGAATGTTACTCCGAGTATTTTGGGGTTAT